ATCAATGTCTTAATCAACCATCATCAAAGAAGTTTCATCCTGCAGAAGATGGTAACTAATACCGAGACCCACAGTCAGACAATGTGCAGAGAGAGAGACCTTGGAACACTCAGTCCTAAATGGGATGTCTTCATCAACCACTCCCTTCAGGGCTCAGGGAACTATGAGGAAGAGGAGACAGAAAGATTGTAAGAACCAGAAGGGATGAAATACACCAAGGAAACAAGGCCTTCTATATACAACAGGACTGACACACATATGAACTCACAGAAACTGTGAAAGTATGCATAGGGGCTGCACAGGTTCAAGCCAGAGTCAGAGCCCCTGAGAGAGGAAAGTACATGATCTCCCATCCTTAACTAAGAAGCTATCTCCAATTGCCAACTGCTCACAAAGGAAAAATCAGTGTGTGGTGGTTAGAATGAGAATGACCACCATAGGCTCATATATTTGAATGTTTGGTGTCACTACTTGAGAGGGATCAGAAGGTGTGGCCTTGTTGAAGGAAGTGTGTGTGCTTTGAGATTTAAAAGCCCAAGCCAATCCCATGATTCTCTCTTCTGGTGCCTGTGAATCCACACGTAGAACTTGTCAGCTATTTCTCTAGCACCATATCTGCCTGTGTGTGTGCCATGCTCCCCTCCATGATGACAATGGACTAACCCTCTGAAACTGTAAGCAAGTGTTAGTTAAATGCTTTCCTTTATAAGAGTCACCATGACTGGAGTAGAATACTAAGATAATTGGTTTATTCCAATAGAGTCTGTGGTAATTTGGAGAAAATGGCCCCCAAAGAGAGTAGAACTATTGGGGGTGTGGCCTTACTGGAGTAGGGTGTGGTCTTGTTGGAGGAAGTGTCACAGTGGAAGCGGGCTTTGAGGTCTCATATATGCTCAAGCTTCTGCCTAGTGTTTTAGACCACCTCCTGTTGACTGCAAGATGTAGGGCCCTCAGCTACCTCTCCAGCCCCATGTCTCCCTGCATGCCACCATGTCCCACCATGATGATAAAGGACTGAACCTCTGAACTTTAAGCAAGCCACAAGTGTTTTCCTTTATAAGAGTTGCCATGACACTAGGGAAATTTCTGTAGATGTACAACGATGACACCAACTAACAATCTAAGCAACTGAGAAGAGGCAACCTTTAATGCCCTCCCCTGATAATGAGATTGATGACTGACTTATATGCCATCCTATAGCCTTTACCCAGCAGCTGGTGGAAGTGAAAGACACCCACAACTAATCACTGAACTGAACTGGAATCGAGTTGCAGAGAAGGAGTGATGAGCAAAGGGGTCAAGACCAGGCTGGTGAAACCCACAGAAATAGCTGACCTAAACAAGGGGGCACTCTTGGTTCCCAGATTGATAGCTGGGAAACCAGCATGGGACTGATCTAGACCCCCTGAACCTGGGTGTCAGTAAGGAGACCTCAGAAATCTATGGGGCCTTTTGTAGTAGATCATTACTTATCCCTAACATAGGAATAGACTTTGGGAGCCTATTCCACATAGAGGGATACTCCCTGAGCCTAGACACAAGGGGGTGGGCCTAGGCTTTATCTCAAAGGATATGACTCAGAAGACCCCCTATGGAAGGCCTCACCCTCCCTGGGGAGCAGAAAGGGTCTGGGTTAGGCAGGATGTTAGTTGGGGGAAGGGGGGTAGGGAAGGAGGGGAGAGAGAATGAACTGGGATTGACATATAAAATAATCTTGTTTCTAACCTAAATAAAAAATTGAGAGAGAAAAAAAAAGAGTTGCCATATCATGGTCTCTTCACAGCAAAAGAAACCCTAAGACAGTAGTCTCAGTGGGTATATAAACCACACTTTATAGGCCCCATGCCCAGCAACAGGTGGCCAAACAAAACAAACTCAATGGTAATTTTGTAGATTTTTCTGTCTTATACTGCTTTGTTTGGATTCCCCCTCCCATCTTAATCTTACTGTTTGTTTAATGTTATAGTTTCTAATTTGTGTTTTGTTTTTGTGTGGGCATGTGTGGTTTTTGTGCTTTTTTATTTTGTTTTTCTTTTATTCTGTTTTGTTTTTGTTTTTCTCATTTGCCTGTTTGTTTTCTAAAGAGAGAAAGAGGACACAGAATTTTATGGATGGGGATGGGGGAAGGTCTGGGAGAAGATGGGGGAGTGGTCAGAATACACTGTATGAAAATTATTTTCAATTAAAATTAAAATAAAACACATATATTACATTCACATATAACCTTTCATTTTATATCATGTAAGAAGCACTCTCCTACACTCCTATACATATTAACTTATTAAGTTCTCACTCCAATCCTACATAGTCTTAATTATCATTTAATTTTCAGATAGGGAAACTGAGGCCTCAGAGGTTAAGTTTCCAAGCATATAGCCAGTAAGCTGAAGAACTCACAGAGAACAGTCTAGTTCCAAAGTCCAGGAGTCAGGTCACCAGCACAGCTTTCACAGGAGTCTAAATGTGGATGGTAGTGTGAATAGAGAATGAAAACAAAAATGGAGTGAATCTGAGATGCAGAAAGAAGGAAAGGAAAGGACCCTTGGATTTGTATATGTTATTTTAACAGTACCAAGAACATGAGCTGTGGGATAGTCCAATTGGCCATATGAAATATGAAACCATAGTGAAGACAGTGGTTGATGAGATTTGTCAGGATGACGATGATACTGAAGCCCAGGAAATGAGGACAGTCATCCAAAGGGAGCAGAGTGAGGGTCTAGCTGGCTAACTGGAGCAAAGGGATTTGAGGCACATAAGGAAATGACACTGAATGAAGACATTGTGCTGTGAGTAATCCTCTGGTACACTGTGTTAATATGTCGATATGGTTGGTTTAGTAAATAAGATGACTGGCCAAGAGCTGACCAGGATAAAATTAGGTGGGAAAGCCAAAGTGAGAGTGGAATGAGGAATGGTGGAGTCAGAGGAGTTGCCAGCAGACACAGAGAAGCAAGAGGGGTTCGCCGGACTGAGAAAAGGTACCAAGACACATGGCAAAGCATAGATAAGAAATATGGGTTAATTTAAGTCAAAAAGTTAGCTAATAACACCAAAGCTATCAGCCAAGCATTTATAATTCACATTCAGCCTCTGTGTTAGTTATTTGGGACTGGGATTAGGACAGGAAATATCCAATTACAACACTGAAAATTACCCCAGTGTTTGTGTGATTAGGAAAAACAGGCATCCATATATATTGTTACTGCTTATTTATAGGAAATAAATAGCTAATAAAATATAAATTCCCCACCTAATCAAGCAATTTTACTTAAGAATGAGGTATCTGTCCTCTTCACAAACTAAAAAGTTGATGTACAAGAGTGTTCACTTCAGACTTGATTAAGAAAAGGGAGGGAGGTGAGAGGAAAAGAAAAATTCAAATGCTGGCCATATTGTGTGGTACACTCTACACAGTCATACCACTTTTTCAAAAAAAAAAAAAAAACAATGAATACTATGTGTGTACAAGGTGGATCTCCAGAGGCTGATAATGGAAGTCACTGTGTTGTTTAAATTTTCATCACTGTGATATAACACAGGCGACATTTTTTAAAAAAAGGTTTTAATTGGGTCCTAATTTTGGAGGTTGAAAGTCCAAGACCAGACTGTCTCACTGGATTGGCCTCTGGTGAGGGCAGAAGACAGCAGCATAACTGTGAGAGACAGAAGAGAAGAAAGGGCTCACGGCCCAAACAGGAAGCAGCTAAGCAAAGCCAAGGTCAGACTTCCAGAGCAATCCTCACTAGCACCACCAACGAGTTCCATGACAACTATCTCCTGGTGTGTGTCCCCAGTGGCCTAAGACCTCTCACTATACCTCACCGCCAGAGATCCCAGCACATCCCGACAGTGCCACCCGGTGGACCAAACCTTCAATCACAATAGACTTGGCAGACACCCAAATCACAGCAATTACCAAGACATATGACACTTGCAAAAGAAAAGGATGCAGAAGAGTAAAATACAGTCTTCCATTAGTATAAAACACAGGCCTTCTGTGTCCCTTCCTCCTTAACCGAAAGACAAATATAAGACAGAACCTTAGAAAATCGTTCAAGACTTGGGATGGAGGTAGAAAAGTTACAGAGAATCAAGGAGGTCAAGGAGGCACCTAGTAGGCAGCGATCAGCAAACCTCCCTCCTCCATGGTTTAAATGCAGGCCATGACCTTAACTAAATGGTCCATTGGGCAATACATAGCAAAATAGACAACATAAATGCTCTCAAGGAAGGGAAGGATGAGTGGTAAGTCCTGAGCCCTTCTCTAAGAGAAGGCCAAGACTCTCAGGGGACAGAAGCAGGTAGACCTCTGAGAGTTCCAGAGTAGGGCTAGATAGTGAGACCCTGTCTCAAAACAAACAAAACTGCTAGGGTTCTTGGATAATTTAAAGTGATTGAGTTACTTAAGTATAATGACCCACTGACATACATAACTTCCTGAAATCTAAACTGACTTCCACATGCCAGCACTTTACTGTGGACTGCTACAGAGCCTTTCAATAACAAAGCAGAGTATGTCTCTCAATATCCCTGCAAAGAAGGTAAGGTTGAGCCTCTGACTAATGATTTTTCTTCAGTTTAACACAATTTATAATCTTTAGTAGCAGTAGCAACAGGATACCATTTGGCCTGCTTCTAATCTAAACCAGAATGATGGCAAGCCTCTCTTCTGAGGACTGCAGCAATCTCCCAGCAAGGTCACCCACCCAAACCTATTTTAGCAACAGAAAGACAGAAAAGGAAAGAAGCCTCAAAGGTGCTGCTGTCTAACTGCTCTCAGCTTTCTTTCAATCAAATGTGTCTTCAGAGAAAATGAGCTTCAGCTTTTGGTGAAAAGGATTATACAATAACAAATTTTAGCTTTCCATGGCATAACACACACATATTTTTTCTGAAAGATAAGCTATTTGAGACTCTTTCAAAACATTCATTGTATTTTACCTTTCATATTTGGAGAAAATAATAAGGTAAAAAAATCCCAACATAGGACAAATATGTAGTCAGAATTCTTGCATTTTTATTTGTTTTGAACATTCAAAAATTAGTAATTTTCAGCTTATACATTAAACACAAATGTAATACATGGAAGGCACTCAAATTACTATTTTTTTTTAAATCACTGGCTACCGCCCTGTTCCAATAAATTGGTCAGAGTGACAAAATACATGGTCTAGAAAGAACCTAGAAGGGGACTGAAAGAGATGAATTGGTGTTTAAGAGCATTTGCTGCTCTTCCAGAGGAGCCAGGTTTGGTTCCCAGCTCTCTCATCTGGTGGCTCACAAATGCCTTCAATTCCAGCTCCAAAGATCCAATGCTCTAATGACTAGCACACATAGACATGTGAGATTTACTCACACAGGAACAGACACACATGAATGAGTGTTTTTAAAAATAAATCTTAAAAAAAAAAAGTAGGAGGCTAGGAAAGGGCAAGATGCTGGCCCACTGTGACAACGGAGACTTCTCACAGGTCAGAGACAGTACACCAGCCATGGGTCTCTGCGGGTTCCATCCATAAAGAGAAGAGACATGCCTCTTCTTCTTTGCCTGTCTTCTGAACTTTCTGGTGCTTTTTAGTAGTTTACATCTCTGCATCTTTCAAAATACAATAGCTTACATTTCAAGTTGGCAAGAAACTACAACAATCCCAGCTGATATATTCATTCACCCCTTATTCAATCCCACTTTCCTTAAAAGTGCATTGTCACTCTAGTTTACAACAGACTTGCTTACAAAGTAAGTCCTAGAAACAACAACCAACTTCCCTATTCTTTTTAAACAATTACCAAAGAGGGGCAAGGTACATGATGGCTCTGTAAGTAAAATCCTAGGTAATAAATTTCAAAATATGATTTCCATTTTATTTATTTTTCAGTTTATTGGTTTGAAACAACCTTGTACTGGTTGTTTGAGCCCAGGCCAGTCTCAAACTATGTATCCAACTCTGACATTAAACTTCTGATCCTCCTGTCCCTGCCTCCCGAGTGCTAAAGTCACAGGAATGTGCCACCACACCTAGCAAGAACATTCAGTGCCCAGTCCACCAATATGAGCCAGGAGAAAGGGGCTAAATGAAGCATAATCCATTAACATTTGCTGGTAATTATTGCCAGCAAATTGTTGGGACCTTTTGTTTTAAGTGTGAGATGACAGGGCAAGGCAAATTCAACATGAACAAGGAGCTATGGTAGAAAAGTCCCAGAAACTAACAGCAGAAACTGATCATAAACATAGCCATGGCAGCAGCTGGCACATCACAGGGTTCCCAATGATTCTCCAGGGAATCTTATAATAATAAAAAGACAACTGGAAAACTGCCTGTAATAAAATATCTTATAGTATTCACATCACTGACAAGCATGTGCTTACCTGAGTCTTAGTATGATGATAGAATAGTAAGCATGATACAGAAATTAAAGTGCTCACAGTAAGCATGAGAAACAAGTCTATAAATTTTTTTCCAGTTAAAATTTCAAAACAGGGTACACTTGTTAAGGTATAACACACCTGCATGTATATTTTTAGTCAAGTATAACTTAGGTTCTTGAACACCTACGCATGCTCCAGAGGCACAAGTGTGGGCAGCCATAGCACTGTGGATGTACTAATGTCAACTGGCTCCACTCCTCCCGGAAGTGGACAGGGAAAAAAACTAAACATGAGTAAATAGCACACAGCACCACAAATGACACTCAAACACTTCTTTTTATTACATACTAAATTTAAAAATACAAATCTCATTAAAAATGTTTATCAAACATCATATATATATACATATATATCTATATGTATATATATATATCTATATATACATATAGATATATATATATATGTATATAAGTACTGTCAAATGCTCCTGAATTGCATACAGTACATACAGCCACTAAGGTTGATCAGAGTAGAGCAGCACATGTTGCTGATACTAAATTTCAAAGGTCAAACAGGTTACAATTTGGCAACTGTGAAGTAGTGACCTGCACAGGATATCTGCAGAGGTAAAATCACAAGGAACTAACGGAATCATGCAGAGACTCCTTCGCTGAGTGTTAACAAGTGAATCCTCCTCGTCTTCTTAAATACCATTGTAACAGAAATTAAAGTGCATGAGACCAGCAGAATACTTGATTTGGTTGTACCCTAAATTCATACTATAGCCAAACGTGCTGCCAGGTTGTGGGCTTTAGTTTTCTACATGGTTCCAGAGGCTTTGGAAGTTAATTTTGAAATGGCTAAGGGAAGGGAGGCCAACATTTTCTAAATTGCACCAAATGGCCTTAAAGTATAAAAACACAGGAAATTAAAGAAATGCTAATTTGGGGGCGGGGGAGGTCAGCTAGATTCAAAGGAAGTGCCCACATCTATTTCACCCTAGCAATAAAATTAGAATAAGGATCTAGTTTTGCCTCTGGAAAATGCTTACTAAAAATCTTCAAAAGTTCAGATGTGCAGAAAGCACCACAATACTGCCACCTACTGCTCACACTGATACTGGGCATTATCAAAACAATGTGGGGACACCTGCCCTCCAAAAGCTCTAGTAAACACAGGCAGCAGTGTGGTCACATGTGACACAATGCTGCTAGTCAACCTCAAATATGATTGGGAAAAGAAGTCACCATCAAGGAAGAAGAGAGGGAAATCCAGTCTATAAAAGTGCTCCCTTTACTTCTCAAACCCAACAGTTTAATTTGGGGTAAAACAAGATTGTACAGTTGGGCCGCCAGTTCTAAGTAAGCTGATGACATCATATATACATACTCACAGACATATGTATAAATTTCAATTCTTATTTAAACTAATACACTAATACAAATCATGTATAGGAAATATTTCATCAGTCTTATTTACAAACACAATGAATGACAACAGTGTGGAAATTTTAAAATTGCAGGTAACTGTAGTTTGTAGTTCACTAAAAGATGAGATACACTCACATAATTAAAATACAAAATGAAACAAAACTGAGAAAAAAATACCTACCAAATATATCTGTTGGCCACTGAACCTAAGAGGCAAATAAATGTGATAGTCATGATTAAATTTTATCACTATTTTTCTTAATGACTTACCAATATGGGGTCTACTGAAAGTACTACCTAAAAGACACATTCTCTCCTGACTGGATGAAGATATTACGATGCTGAATACATTTTCTTGGCTCCCATGGCACATTACACTTGGTAACACTAATAAGGTAGATTTGGATAACACTTAAATTGTGATTACGAATGTTTAATTGAGTATTTTCCTTTCTGTAGCTGTGAAATGTAAAGCTTAGATTTGCTTCCATCAGGCCTCTTAAACCAAACTTCATCATGGTTAATTGTTGTAATTACAGCACTAAAAAAGAAAAAAAAATATGAATGAATTACAATGTGGTTCGTTTCATTTCATTTCTTTTATTATTATGGTGGTTTATTTCTCTTGTCTTTTTCTTTCTTTTTTTTAAAAGTCATGCCTTGAGGTATATAGCCCAGGCTGGCCTTAAATTTGCATTTCTTCTGCCTCCACCTGGCATTGACTAATCACATTTTAGATTACTGGCTTAAAAAGGTTCCATACTTTACAATCTACAATGGGCTCAGAAGGTTCAGGTATAAAACTAACATTTACCAGACACTGCACTATCAGCAGGGCATGGAATAGAAAATATCATGATAACCATTTAACATGTTATACAACTTACTTTCTTAATGAAACTGATAAACTTCTCTTTCAACTAGAACTAAGCCATATAGTATGTAACATTTTGATCAATAGACTGCACATACAACAGTAGCCAAAAATGAACTAAAAAGTTCTTAGTTAGGTTGCACTGTCAAAGCATTACAGACCAATGTGTTCCTCCTGTGCGTATGTGTGATGACAATGGTGCACAAAAACCCACTGTGCTGTCAATCACATGACAGCAGAGCATATACAATTGCACACAGTGCCTTACACTTGACAAAGATGATGTACACCCTGTTACCTGCCTATATACTTACTATACCAACAGTTTTCCCCAGGGCTGAAGACTGACTCCTGGACCCTGTGCAGGACAGACAAGCACACAACACAGAGCTACATCCCCCATCCTTTTCTGTTACAATTTAGCATATATTCCTTTCCAATTTTTTAAAAAGTAAAATAAAAAGGATTGCTGTAAAGCATCTGATGACTCAGGTTTACCCTATCTCTTGACTAAATTACTGGCTGCATTACGTGACTGGACTATACTGTCTAGTGTGTAAGTATGCTCCACAGTGCTGTATAACTGCTGAAATGTCCTATGGCACACTTTCCCTGGTTAAGTGAGTCACTGGCTGTCCTAAAGCATAGCACTCCTCACCCCATCTTCATTCCATCCTCCAAAAGGACATGGATCTATAGCATTATTCAGGTAGTATTAAAGCCTCTACTACTGTCAAAATGGGACATCTTTTAAATACTCATCTGTCAATTCCCAGTGTTAGACCACCTGTTGTACTGATTCCTTTCAGCACTACTAATCCTTACATAGAAAAGATATTGAAAAGCTATTTTCAAAAGATTTGTCTTTCACTATCTCTTTTTAATCACTCTAATGCTAAGTAGTAATAAAATAAATAAAACAAGAGAATACTGGAGTGTCAAATAAAATTGGTATTATAATAGTTAAATGAACTTCTATGAGAAAAGTTGTTATGTATGTTCTTGAGATCCAAAAATTTACATATGAAATCATAATCCAATTAAGCTTTCAAAATAAGAAATCAAACTAAACTCAAATGTTCTTATCTAGTAAAGGGTGTTTCTTGGGCCAAGCACTGGTGGTATTCGCCTTTACTCCCAGCACTCGGGAGGCAGAGGCAGCAGATCTCTGTGAGTTGGAGGCCAGCATGGTCTCCAGAGCGAGTGCCAGGATAGGCTCCAAAGCTACACAGAGAAACCCTGTCTCAGAAAAAAAAAAAAAAGGTATTTCTCACTTAGAAAGAAGATACTCTGAGAATTTAACCCTAAAGAATGAAAGCAATTATTCACTAATATTTTCAAAAAGACCACAGCAAGATAACTTATGGGCTGCATGAATAATTAATATAAACTTTAAATCTAGATTAACACTTAAAAAGTAATTTCTAGTTTTCAAGTTATGTTTTAATTACAAAGTGCTCTTTTTTAATGGTTTATTTTTGGTTTTTGTTTTATGTATGTGAATATTTTAGCTACACTATACATTCTGTGTGCAGTGCTCACAGAAGTCAGAAGAGGGAGTATGATCCCTTGGAGCTGGAGTTAACTGACAGCTGTGATGCTGGAACCAAGAATCCTCTAGGAGAGCTGTTCTCATCAATTGAAACTTCTCTCCAGCCCCACTAGGCATTCTTAAATTTTTCATTAATTTTCCACTTCTTTTCTGCCTTAATTCTTTTTTTTTTTTGGTCTGAAATAGTCTCCTGTATCCCCAGGTTGCCCTACAACTAGAGTTGTGCTCACAGATAATGCTAGGAAAATAGGAATGTTAAACACACAGTTTTCCACCCAGAAGGCTGGGAATGGAGGCTGCTAATAGACTAGGTGATCCTTGAGCTATCTGTACGGCCAGCTCTCCTAGGCTCCCACACAGGACCAGAGATGGCTAAGAGTCTAGATGAGCTCTGTGCTAGCTGAATGACCAGGACCACACCAGATCCTCCCCAGGCCCTTAAGATAACACATGTAGCCAGCCTATCTCTAGAAACCATCTTCATGGAAGAAGTGACGTACTTTGAGAAGAGTTTCCATGTAATTATGCCTCCTTGTGCACACAGGATTGTGTTACACCAGGAAATTTTTTTCCAAATGTACTGTATTTAAGTATGCTTAAAAGAAACTTCTCAGTGTCAAGACTCAGAAGTTTGAACCAAGACTGGCTACTGGTGCTGAACTGGATTTTCTTCTTGCCTCACGTGGATTGTTACTCTGCTGGCTCTCGTGTCTGCAAAGACCCCAGCTAAGGCTGACCTTGAACTCCTGATCTTCCTGTCTCCACCTCTCTAGTATTGAGATCACAGGCTCTCCATCTACCCAGTTCATGTAGTGCTAGGGACTGAAACCAGAGCTATGTGTACCCTAACAAGCACTCTAACAACTAAGCTGCATTGCCAGCTGATAATGCTTTTTTAATATGGAAAACTGAAATGAGACCAAAAGAGTTAAGAATTAATAGGCCCACCAAGAATTCTTAATAGTTTGGTTTGAAAGGCATTATATTAGGATCATAAGAATTACAATGTAAGAATGAACAAACAGGATCATTTCATGGATAAATAATTCCAAGCACATCCACTATGCTAATGCTGTGTTCAACTCTAATATAAAGTCTAATATATAAGTACTAACAATTGTGCACACAGGACTGGATCTTACTCAAGTAAAAAGGGATCCAAAGGAACTAATGATACATGACAAATAACCTACAAGAGGCTGCAAATGTTGATTGACAATAGGTGTAAATAGAAATTCTCAGCAACAATGATGTGACAGGAAGCTTCTTACCTTGTAGGACATTCATCTTTTTTATCAATACATATTGTTTGTCCACGAATATACCATTCACCATCATAATACAGTCTTCCCTCTTCAGATCTAGCACTGTGCAGATGTTTTTCCAGTTTCACAGGTGCTAAATGGATCAGTTAAATAACTGTTATGTAAATAAAACATTGTCCAAACTTTAAAAGACAAAAGCAATCCATGTACATATGTGTGTAAAAAGCATTTGAAATATTTTTACATATGAAATCTAACATGTAATAGAAACAAGAGCTTCTCTTACTTTAGAGTTCACTGTCTAATAGGAACAAAGGTGGGCAATGACCAGTGGAGAAGGTCAGGAAAGTGAGCAGACACGTGAAAGACTAGTCACCAACACCAACACATGTGTTGTTGTGAAAATTACTTTTCAAATCTCCTCCCCTAGGAGGCATATCATACTTGGAAAGAAGCAAAATCTAAAGTATAATGAGAGTTCCCCAGAATTTCTAATTATCTGAAGCAGAACTTGCATTTCCAACCCTCAGGAATGGTTCTGCATTAGTAGATAAACTATTGCAGGGAAAACATGTTCTATGTAAACATGTAGTCAGAATCATATCACGCAGTAGCTGTACCTTCATCATTCAGCTGTTACCTTTCAGAAAATCATCATCACAACTTCACATGGACTTCATAATGACTATCATCAATTGGTACTAACTTACTTACTTACATACAAAGTATTCCACCTCCTAAAAGGAGCCTCCAAATTTATTTTTTCCCCATTGTCTCTCTTCAAGAACCTAAAATATTCTCTGGTATGTAGAAGGTAGTGAATAAGTATATATGCATTTGTTTTTTAAGTCATTCACTCATTACATATCTGAGCCCATCCTATACTCAAGGAACTGTGCTGAGTGCTGAGGAAAACACAAGTAAACAAAGAGATATGGTGCAGGCCTTTGTAAAGCTTATGCTCTGGTCAGGAGACAGATAAGTAGATAATTAATTTAAAAGTACCAATTGGCCCAGTGAGATGCAGGTACACATGCTGTGCAAGCCTGATGACCTGAGTTTGATGCATGATTCCTAAAACCCCCAGTGGAAGGAAGGAACCAACTTTAGTTGTCCTCTGATCTCCACATGTGTGCCATGGAATGCATGTGATCACACACACACACACACACACACACACACACCACCTGAACATCAACGATAAACTTTTCTTTAAAAAGAACTGTGGAATTTACCATTCCTAAAATAAATGTACAAGTGGAAGTAAAGGTTATGAATAAAAGTAGTAGAACATTAAGCTAAAAACAAGCTAGAAGAGAGCCATTCGATTGGGTAGTGGGGATCCAATTCATGAGGGGCTGGGAAGACGGCTCACTTGCTGCAAAAGTGTGAAGACCAGAACCCACATAAAAGCCAGGCAGGCACAGCAGCCACCTGTAATCCCAGCACTGGGGAACAGAGACAGGGGATCCCCAGGATTCAGAGCAGCTAGACTTGCTAGAATCAGAATTCTATTTAACAAGAAGTCTTACATCAATAAATTAAGTAGAGAACCATCAAGGATAAATCTCTAGCCTCTACATATACACACCCACATACCCACACACCCACACACCCACACCCACACACATGTGAACATACATACAAACACATCTCTCTCTCAACCCCCATATACATAAAATAAGATAATAAAAATATAAACACACACACACACACACACACACACACACACACACACACACACACACACACACACACCAAGAAAAATCAAAGACCCAAAACTCATTCTAGAGATTCGGGCATCTGTCTCCTCCAGTCAAGAGTAGTATATAGATACAGCACTGCTGCAATTTACTGATATGAAATAAAGTTTAAAGTCATCATTAAAAAAATTGAAACTTTCTTAAAGATAAATACCTCTAAAGATGCTTTTAAAATGAAACAAGAATTCTTTTCCTTACTATTTCAAATATGCTTTTTTAAAAAGCTAATAACCCTTTAAAGCATTATAAAAATCTACCCAAAAAGAAGCAGAAATAGACACCAATGTTCATCACAACTTTGGCAGCTATCTTAAAGTTGAAAACAACAACAAAAGCATATATAATTCTAGCACTAGCACAAGCACTCAGGGGACAGAGGCAAACAAATCATAATTTCCAGGCCAGCCAAGGCTACTTAGCAAAGCCCTGTCTCAAAACACAACATGTAAATCTCAGTGGCAGATAAATCTCTCAGTACTCCACTGTCAGAATTCTAGTATCTGCTGATGGGAGGAAAAGCACTCCTAAGAAATTTAGTAGACAACTCCAGAGAATCTGAACTCCCTGGAACCAATTCATGAGTTCCAAACACTTCATTTAAAGAAGTAATGGGCCAATTTAAAAAAAAAAAAAAACCACTGGGGGTAAATGCATCTTGAATTACAGATCTAATATCAGTAAAAAAGATATGGCCTAACAATGTAAGAAGAAATACAGAGCATTGGAAACTTTCAAGCTTTTTCATGAAGCAGGAGACTCTCGAGCTCCTTGTAAGGTCGGTTACAGAGTTTGTTGATTCATGGAACCAGTGGTGTGCAGCTCCTCAAAACACAGGGCATTTAACCACTCGGATTCAACGGCTCTCCACAGAGAGGATGTCACAACTCATGACTTACGTTCGGTCTTAACACGGTGTGGACCCAGTGTAGCCATTGCCTTAGAAAAAAGAGAGAAAGAGGGGAGAAATCTGAGTTCAGACTACTGAAAATGCATTTTGCTCTCTATAATATATACAACATTCTTGATTGGTTCAGTAACAGAATAAAATGTAAACACTAGCAGCTCTCATTTTCTTGTGCTGGGGGAAGAACCCAAAGCATCATGCACACTAGGCAAGCACACTAGGCAAGCACGCTAGAACTGAGAGGCATGCCCAGCCTCCAGACTAATGGTCTCTAAGGTCACAGAGAATACCTAGTCGGTGTTGATAGCACTCGCCTTTAATCCCAGAACTCGGGAGGCAGAGGCAGGCGGATCTCTGTGAGTTCGAGGCCAGCCTGGTCTCCAGAGTGAGTGCCAGGATAGGCTCCAAAGCTATACAGAGAAAGCCTGTCTTGAAAAACCAAAATAATAATAATAATAATAAATAGGATGAAAAAACAGAGAATACCTTCTCCCATATTTATTAACAGCCGAAATGTTTCTCTGGATAATTTATAAAAACTGAAATTTTTAATAAGGAAAGCAAGCCTCAAGCCAGGTCTGGTGGCACAGGCTTATAATCCAGATCCCAAGAAGGCCAAGGCAGAAGGCTCACAAGTTCAAAGACTATGGGGGCTACAAAGTGAACTCTAGGACAGTCTGAGCAAAATAAAAAGTAAAAACAGTAATAGAAATAAGTAAAAAGATGGCAATATACATAGTTCTATTCTTAAACAAGCATCAGAGTCCATTCATGCCTTGATAGTTATTAATAGAATATAAGACACTCAAAGTTTAATGTATTCATTCAACAAATATCTACGGAGTGCCTCCTATAGGGCAAAGACAGACAAAGCTCTAAACCCAAATACTCTAGGATAAACTAAACATATGTAATTCCATATTATTTTATAAATTACTAATTACTTTATTTCAGGAAAAATACAAATCACAAACTTGTCTCTAATTCTTAAAATATTCTATGGCCTACTACAAAGCAGAGTATATTTACAATGATTATATTCTCATATATTGATGAACAAACTCTTAAAAGGTAAACTCTTGCAACATTCATTAATCATACCTTCCTAATTGTTGTCCAGTCCTCAAGAATATCAAGATCCTGCAGCATATAAACTATATATGGGCGTTGAGAGGTCAAGGTCAACTCAGCAGTGAGAATACCACACACTTCAGAGCCCAATATGGTGCACACTCTGTGAACAGATGCAAGAGGACTATGGGCTCAAGGCCAGCCTGGGATACATATAAGATTTTTGTCTCAAAAACAACAAAAAGCACCCATAAAAACCAATCACACTGTATTATTATAAACAGCTGTTCCCCCTCAGTCCTGTGGACAGGACACTGACAATTTTCAAAGCTGAGGTGATGACTGGAGTTTCTATTCTCCCCTGCCCTCTAAGGCAACAGTCTATCTCTGGCTTCAGTCATTTTGTAAGTCTTCACATGCTTGTTCTGGGACAGTCCAAGTAAAATCAGTGTGTGCTGAAGTAACGGAGACAGACTGTGTGGAAGCGCAGCAACTGTGGGAAAGGATATCTGAAACGACAACTGGCTTCTTTTTGTCGGGGCTGAAAGGATCCTTCCTCTTTTTTCTTGACTGAAGCTCATCATTCCACAGCTCTGCAAGCAAATCAAAGTGTGAGCTGATTCCAGTGGCCACAGGAAGAAAGAGCAGTACATAATTTCATGTTTACTGCTTACATACATACAAAACTGTACAAAACTCCAAGGAAGCTACACAGAGGTAGGTTTTTTTTTTCTTTTTTACATTATTTACTTATTCATCAGGTGTGGTGTGTATGTATGCACACTTGAACACCACAGCACACATGTGAAGGCAACTGGTGAGAGTAGGCTCTCTTCCCGCCACATGGGTGCTGAGGATCAAATTCAGGTTGCCAGCCTTGGGGACAAGCACCTTTACCACTGAGCCGCCTCACCAGCCCTGAAGTACCTATTCTTTTTACTTCACTTTTCCAGACAAGGACATCAATTAAGAAAAACTAAGCAACTGTCCACAGACACCCAACTCACAAGCAAGGGAACACCCGCACTGATCTCATCAAATCTGCCCCAAGTATAGCAGAAAAGCAAAATGCAAACCACAAAAACAAAACATACTCAAGAACTGTGGGCCAACCTGGTAAAACATTTATCAGTGCACAATAGAAAACTTCCCTATCCTCACCCTGAAATGGCCACATTTCATACTGCCCTGGTCTTTCCTTTCTCCAAGGCAAATAAGCTGGCCTGGAAGAACACAGGGCTGTCTTCCAGTACAGTCACAGTAGTTCCTGTCATATTTCTGTTCTGTCCCTTTTCCTATGCTGTACTTTTTATATCTTTCTAGACAACCTCGGCCTGATCATTCTTGAGAAGTCTCCTCCCCTGTTCCCTTTGGCTAGGACACTGTATTTACAAGAAGCATTAACACGAGAAGACTGTGGCTTTATGGAACGCCACCACCACACCACGGCCCTGACCTGAGGTAATGTCGATGCTGTGCCTGTCCTCCTCAAGCCTTCTTATCTTCTCCTCAAGCTCACTCTGGACTGTATCATATAACAAAAGCTTTTCACT